CACTCAAGATTAATCAAGTGAAAGACGATCTTTTCTGATCTATCATCTTCTTGATACCATCATTCTATACACACTTTGACAGTATTGGAGTTCGCCGCAGATAACATCACCGATCAGGGAGCACGATATTTCTCTGATCTATTGAAAAGTAACCAAGTAAATTACACCGTTTTTCCTGTAAGTTTTATTACAGACAATTATAATTGACAGACTCTCGTAACACTGGCTCTTTATGGAAGTGGTATTACTAGTACAGGAATACAGTACCTGTCTGATGCTTTGAAGCTCAATCAAGTAAGTGAAGAGCTCTTCTTAACTATTCTTCATTTAATATTATCACTCTTTGAAGACACTCCAGACATTGGAACTCTACGAAGACAAGATAGATGATGAAGCTGCTCAGTTTTTGTCGGATGCTTTACTGATCAATCGAGTGAGACAAGAATTCTTCCTATCTATTATTAATTGAACATAAATATTGTGCATAGTCACTCACCTCACTGACTCTCAGTCTAACTAGAATCAGTACTACGGGAGCTCAGCACCTTGCTGATGCATTGAAAGTCAATCGAGTAAGATAAGATATATTTGCGGACACTATTTACTAAACATTGTCATTTTTACATACGCTCACAAAATTGGATCTTGCATGGAATCGCATCGACGATGGAGGAGCACAGTATATTGCTAATGCGTTGATGATGAATCAAGTTAGCAAGTATCTCTTGTTCAGAATCACTTATCTCATGTTATTATTCTTCACAGACTCTCAAAACACTGATTTTAGCTGGTAATCCGATGGATGCATCCGGAACAATTTGTTTAGCAGAGATGTTAGAGAGCAATGAGGTGAAACAAAAACTCTTCTGCCTTTTCGTTCATTGATTGTTGTTCTTTTTCGTAGACCCTCACGACATTGGATGTTAGTTGCTTTGACACTAACATCATAAGTTCTTTCTATCATGCTGAAGCTGCGATAGTTATTAATGTGAGAGAAGATTGTTTTGTATCTTTTATCGTTTTAAGTTCATCATACTTTACAGAAACTCATAAAACGAAATCGTCAGAGGCAGAACGTCAAAACCACAAAATCAATATCTAAATGATATATTGAAGGCAACAACGTATGTTGGAAAACACTACTTGAAACTATCTTTTAAATATAATTTCTCTTCATAAATAGTTGTTTCAAATGTAGAAACCTCATTTGGTACTGTTAATAATGAAAAACTTCAATCAATACCGTCAACTTTATGAACCAAGCAGACCCATTGACTACCATTTTTGTGAACATCTTAGCCTTTTTTGTCTCTTTCTCTTCAAGTGTTTTCCACTCTGACTATACTTTTCACAGAAGAGCGAAAGATATTCGTGGCGGTTGCTCAGAAAAAAAGTGATATTTGGGTGTGGGTGCGGGTGAGTCCAGGGTGTAGGCCTGGGTGCGTGGGTGTGCGTGTAGTGTGTGGATGTGGGTATGCATGTGGCTGTGGGGCGGGTGAGGGTGTGGGTGTGAGTGTGGGTGTCGGTAGATGTGGGGTATGGCTGTGGGTGTGGGTGTGGGTGGGGTGCGTGTGGGTCTGGGGTGTCAGCTGTGGATACGTGAGTCTGGATGTGTTTCAGCAGTATCAATTGATGTCAACCCCCACACCCACAACCACACTCGCACCCACACCCACCCCACACCCACACCCACACCCACACACCCACATCCACACCCTTTATCCTTTATATAGGTTAATTATTATTTTTTATTTTTCAGATTGAATGTTTCGGAGATATTTATGTTCTTTTAAGTGCTTTAAAACTAACAACAATTCGATAATTTTTTTCATTATCAATATGATGAAATTCGTTTACTTATACATTTTTTTAAACATTTATTTATATTACATGATCTTAATAATTTACAATTATTATTTGATATTATTAATTTAATCGATTCAAGTAAAGAGAAAAAAAACAGATTTTTAGTATGGTTGTTTTTGGAATTTGTTTTTGTATTTGAAAACTTATCAAATAATGCAAATGATATAAATGATATTCAATCAGTAGAAAAAAAATTTTTCATTTTTTAATCAAGTAAAACTATTTGAATTTTTTTGAAAGAGACATTAATGAAAATGTTTTTTTTTCTATACAAATAATATTAGTAATATAAATTCAATAATATCAAGTAATAAGATTCAAACAGAAGTATATGCAATAAGGTTTTAGTTTCTGGTTTATCTATAAATTCAGACACCTTATTGTCTATAAATTATGGTTAGAATAGAAAAGAATTTAAAACAAATATTGTTTTCGAACTTTTGTCTTTGGTTCCAATTGATTCTAGTCTTTCTAAATCCGATCAGAACTGAATTTAAGCAAGTTAAATGATTGAATTTATAGTCGAACTTAATGCTTAGTAAGTAATATAAGTTATCATTGTATTCGTCACCTTTTTTCCCTAGAGAAATGTTTCTTTTTTTTATTTTGGGACAAAACCTAATCTACATTACTCTAGCTAATGATTGTCATTGATATCTAATTTTAAGAATCATCAGAATCTTAAACTCAGTCATCGAATTTTATTGCTGTACATTTAATCTCAGCGAATTTTATTTTATTGAAATATACAGTTACTCGATTTCCGTCAATATGTCATTCTCTGAACTGTTGCGAAGATATCTTTTCGTGACCATTCGCCGGCATCGATGAAATTCAGAAATTCTAAGATATTATCAATCAAATCTTTTGATCTTAAATGAATATATCTCTTCCAAATTCGTGAAAATTGACATAAAATTGTAATTAGCTTGTATCACAAATATTTACTCTATTTTTTGATTAATCTTAAAAAAATCTTGTATTTCTTGCCAAAAAAAAACAATCGTTACACTTGGATATTTTGAATATAAATTTTCCAAAAGTTATTCAAAAGAAGAAGAGGAATTTGCAAGGTCACGATACTTAAAATAATGATGCTAGAACCTTGTAGAACGCTGGTAGAAGTACGTAGTAGTTATATCATTAGTTGTTTTAAAAACTACAGATTGAAAACAAAAATAAAAAATATATCTGTTAAATCCTACTGAAGTATCAGCTAGTCAAAGGAACATTTGAATCAGTAACTTTAAGAATTATTTTAATATATCGTAGTATGTGTGCAAATTTGTCGATCTTTAGTAAATTTTCGACAAAATTCTTAAACAAATCGTTCAAATTCTTTTGAAAAGTCATGATTTTTTATAAATATACTTATGCACTCCTATCAAAGATGTTTTCTATCTTAAATACTGTTTCATCGTAGATTGAGATGAATCCAGTGATTTGATAAATTTAATTTTGTCAACAGTTGTCTTTCTAAAAAGAATGAGCTGATCGATGAAAAAAAAAACATTGATCAAATAAAAACTTCCATGATTCCACAGATTATGTATGCCTTTTTCTTTTGATATTGAATACGATTGTTGTTACTGTTTTGAAGTAATTATTTCCATTGGTCAATGTTAAATTCAAGTAACAAACCTGCTTGTGTAATGGTACACCAGAGGTGTCCACAGGGCAGGGCAACCCTGCCCTGTCCTGTACCCTGTCCTGCCCTGAACAGGGAAAGGGTGAAAAAATGAATTTTTACCCTGCCCTGGACAGGACAGGATAGCACATGCCAAACTACCGTACAGGGCAGGGTGAATCTTTTATACCCTGTCATATTTGAAAATACGAAAATTAATTTTTTCACTTTTCGTCTTGGAAAACAACGTCTAATTAGTTCGCGACAGCTACGAATTAAAATTAGACTGCAGAGGGCGACGCTATCTAGTATATAATATTTTCCTCTACGAATGTACATCTAAAAGTTGACCGTAAAAATGTCGAAAGAACGAAGATGAAAAATGTCGAAAGAAAAAATATAGAAGAAGAAAAATGTCGAAAAAATAATATCGACAGAAAAATGGTTGATAAATATTTTGAAGAGTTGTGAATAGTGAAGAACATGTTATATAATATGAGTTAGTGTTAATATTATAACAGTTACAAAAACAGATAATGAAAAAAATTGATTTATTATTTTTTCTGCATAGCAACTATGGATTGTTGTTTTATTCAGTTTGAAAACATAATCATCTGCTACGAGAAAGGTTTTCCTTTATTTGAATTTATAAATGAAAAGCTAGAGATACTGATCGGGTTACGTCACTTTCAGATGTAGCAGTTTCAGTCGTGACAAAAGAATTTTAGTTAATATAATAGTTCTTCGCTTAACTTTCTTATTTAATTTTTATCAGGTAGTAGTCGTCAAAATCACGATTGCTTAAACTTCTATACTATCACAACTATGAGAAAAACAACAGTGAACTAGACATGATTAGAGTCACAATTTATTGGATACATCATCTTTTTCGATATTTTTCTGTTACAATATTCTTCTACTTCCATATTTACTTTTCGACATTTTTCCCTTTCGACATTTTTCCTTTCGACATTTTTCCTTTCGACATTTTTCCTTTCGACATTTTTCCCCTATTTTTTTTGACATTTTTCCTTTTCGACATTTTTCCTTTCGACATTTTTTCTTTCGACATTTTTCCAGCACACCCATCTAAACGAATATGGTTAAATAAAAAGGTGTGTAGTAGAAACGTCGAAAGGAAAAATGTCGAAAGAGAAAAAAATAGGGTAAAAATGTCGAAAGAAAAATGTCGAAAGGGAAAAATGTCGAAAGGGAAAAACGTCGAAGGGAAAAATATCGAAAGAGAAAAATGTCGAAAGAAAAAATATCGAAGGGGAAAAATGTCGAAAAATGAATTCTAACACAAAAAGATGTAAAAATGAAAAATAAAAGAAGCAACGATGTCTTCAATAAATGAGAACTCTAAATTCGAACAATGCATGTTTTCTTTTCTTATAATTCTACTAGTCGAGATTTTTCACCACTAGTAGTAAAGATGACTAATAAATGATAGAGATTAAATAAACAACTATATACGAAGTAAATAAATAACTAAAGTAATAATAGTATGGCAACAAATACAGTATTTTCAAATGACGGAACTCAACCAAAATTGAGCATTTCATTTATTAAATCACAAAAAGGAAAAAATTTATTAGTAGCAAATGAATATACTTTCAAACTAAACAAAACAACAACTACAACTAAATATTGGAAGTGTATATACAATGGATGCTCTTCTAAAATTCATACAAATTTGAATGATAAATTACTTAAAACAATTGATGATCATAGTCATCCTTCAGAAAAAGAAGATATTCAAGTTCGTGAATTTCGTGAAAAAGTAAAACAACGAGCAATAAATGAAACAACGCCCATTCCACGTATTTATGATGAAGAATGTGAAAAAGCATTGTTAGCAAATGCAACAATAGCTATATTACCAAGTGAACGTGAAATGAGTACGAACATATTCTATAGAAATATTCAATATTAATTTTTATTTTTTTCTAATTTTAAGATAATGGAATAAATAAAGCTCGTCGTGCAATAACACCTATCATTCCAACAACACAGCTATTTGATATCCCTGAACCTTTTGCAAAAACATTGCGAAATAATGATTTTTTAATTGTTGATAAAATGATTACAAGACGACAACGAATAATTCTATTTGCATCAAATGATCAACTGAAACTGTTATTTAATTCTGATAAAATATTGATGGATGGAACATTTTCAACTTGTCCTAAAATGTTTGATCAAGTATATACAATTCATGCCATTAAATATGATCAATGTAAGTGGATACATTGACATTTGAATATTTACATCCATCTAATGATATTTTTATTTAGCATTTCCTTGCGTATTCGGTTTATTACCTAATCGATTCAAAAGTACATATCATTTTATGTTTCAAGAGTTAAAATCAACAGCTACACAGATGCAATTGAACTTTACGCCAAAATCGATAATGACAGATTTTGAACCTGGTCTTATAAGTGTAATTGCAGCTGAAGTAAGTGTCTAATATTTCTTAGTTAAGTTTATATTTGTCTTTTTCAGTTTTCTGGAGCAACACATTCATCCTGTTACTTTCACTTTACTCAAGCTGTCTATCGAGCTGTACAACGTGTTGGATTATCTACAAGTTATAATAACGACGATGATGTTAAACATTTTTGTCGAAAATTAATGGCTCTACCTTTACTTCCTGAACCTATTATTGAAGATACTTATGATGATTTATTAGCTGCAACACCTACAGAATTAAAAAAAAAACTTGATGATTTGTTAGAATATTTTCAGGCACAATGGTTTACGAAAGTTCCAATATCTCAATGGTGTGTACATGGTCTTAGTTTAAGAACAAATAATAATGCAGAAGGTAAATACTTTTTAAAAGTTTTTCATAACTTCATTCTTATATATTTTATTTAGCATTTCACAGTCGCTTTAATCGACGAGTTCAAATTAATCATCCAAACATTTGGTCGTTCATAAAGTTTCTACAAGGAGAAGAAAATCGTTTTCACCACTTAAGTATTCAATTTCATGCAGGTTTAGGAACACGACCTAAGCAAATCAAAACAATTGCCATTCAACGTCGTATCGATAATCTTAGTGAACGATACTATGATGGCGTTATAAATGCTATGGAATACTTAGATGGCTTATCATTCATCGTTGCAAAACGAAAAAAATGATTTTTTGAATTAATTTCTTCATTCATACTTTTTTTTTCTATTAACATATGTTAGTGTTAGCATAAAAAATAAAGAACGTCTCTCCTATTTCAAGAATTTCTAACAAGAATAATGAGCCATTTTCTTAATGTATATTTTTTTCGACATTTTTCCCTTTCGACATTTTTCTTTTCGACATTTTTTCCTTTCGGTGTTTTTCCTTTCGACATTTTTCCCCTTCGTTTTTTCGACAATTTTCCTTTCGACATTTTTCCCTTTCGACATTTTTCCTTTCGACATTTTTCCCTTTCGACATTTTTCCCTTTCGACATTTTTCCTTTCGACATTTCTACTGCCAACCAATAAAAAAGTCGACGGAATTACTATTGAATGTCTGTATTCGTATTTCTTGTTATTGTGATTTATTATACTAAACTAAAATATTCAAATATGAGTTCGATATTATTTGATTTGGATGATGATATTTGTCTAATGTCCACTTCTGATCCTACTGTTTCATCAAACACGTCCTCAAGTTGTCTTGCTGGTCGTTCAACCTCGTCTTCTTCAAACTTTTATACTTCACAACAATTAAAACAAATGCTATTAAAAAATGATGAAAACGTTCGTCTTGAAGATAATAACTCAATGAAGGTGTAGCCAGCTTGGTGGAGATCTTTTAGATATATATCTTTAAAAAATAAAAAAATGATTTTGAACGTATTACTGGTTTAATAGCATGTCTTAAATGTTCTTCTGTATTTCGTTATGGGCCTAAAAGCGGAACAAAACATTTTGTTGAACATTTTTGTAAAATGAAGTTCATTAATAAACTATATGGGTTTAAATTATACTTTTATGTCTTCATTATTGTTTTTCTTAATATTAATAAGTTCTATTGATTGAACTATTAGCTACTGGTATTGTGCAGTAATTTAGATGAAGCAATACTGGATAGTACATTTACGAAACAACTTTAACTTTGAACTCTATAGGAAATAAAAGTCGAAATTTTCTTGTCGATTTCACAGGGTAACCCTGCCCTGCCCTGCCAGTAACCGTGGCAGGACAGGGCAGAACAGGGTGTGTTTTTTTTTCTAAGTATTTCTGGCCCACAGGGCAGGGTAACACTGAGCAGGGTACAGGACAGGACAGGGCGAAAAAAATTGCCCTGTGCACACCTCTGTGGTACACTAATAGTTTATTCCAACACACCACAAAGATCAAGTATGTTACTTCTCTTTTTACATTTATTATATTTCTACAATCAATAGAGGTAACAATATTGAGGATGTTTTCATTAAAAAACATCAAATTGTGATAATATTTAATATTGATATACTCGAAATAAATCATCAGTTAAGGAAAGTATGATAAGAATTACAATTATTTCACTTTAATCTGATTATCTATAGATGACTGAGTCAACGTATTTGAACTTCTTCTATTATTTTTCATAGATCTTTCAAAGCTTTATACAAGATTTCTTTTTCTCTATTGCATTTATATAGTTTTTTTGAACATAATAAAAGATGATTGAAAAGTTTCGACTCCTATCTGTAAATTAATAATATCTAACACAAATTTATACATATTTAATTGATTGAAATATATGATTTCGAAGAAAAAACAGAGAGTTTTATCTAATAAACAAATACTTTGAAATAGATCAATATATTCCACTGCTTTTTGGCATTTTACTAATCTTGCGTGCAGAATTTCATCTAAAATTTCGAAGAAATAATTTAAAAAAATTCTTTATCATAACGGTAGCATTTCTGCCACTTCCACAAGAGTTTTATAGAAGACTTTTTATTTCAGTGGAATAATAATCATTTATCTAACATTCTTTATTGACTTTAAAAAAAGAATACTAAGATAATTTTAATTAAATCTACAAAAATCGTCGAAAAATAAATCCAAGCAGGTAGAATATTAAACAAAAAATTTCAAAAACCAGAAACTCTGTAAAATAAGATTGTCAATTTAAATACCTGTATGGATATAAAGAATGTTCCAAAACACAATAATCATAATCAACTAATATGACGAGTATTATTCTATTGAAATGACAAATTTTGTCTTAAACCATTTCGAATAAAAATAAATACAACTGTTATGAAAAAAAAATTTTTATAAAAATCTTTCTCAATGAAATATAAAATAACAGTAGTCATTGAAGATTAGTACAACAGAAATAACATTGGATTATATTGATGCATTCTACAAAATTACATATTTCAAGTAATGAACAGTTTATAAATTTATGATAGAAAGTGAAACTAATTCGTTATTGATATATGAGAAAAATCTTTTCCGGGAAATATAACGATCGTCCTCTTAGATTAATGTTTTATATTTTGTTCATCTACATCGAAATGGCAATGAGACAAATGCTTATAAAGTTTTTTGCATAAAACAATCAGCTGTAACTAAAATTTTCTACATTGAAAAATTTTCAGTCTCAGTAAACATTTCCAATTGATATTGTTGTATCTAATCTTTTATATTATGAAAGATGATTGACTATAAAGTTTAAACTCAAAAATTTATTCTGAATGAAACATATATCATTACATAATATCAAACAACAATAATTTTGAATTCAATTGATGATAATTGTTGTGAGAGTTTGCTTGTTTGTTTTCAGAGATAGAATCGATTCGCTTAGAAAGGATCAATTTAGTTTTTTAATTTGAATTCAACGGTGTTTCCAGTGAAATACTATAGTGCTGTCAGATGATCGTGTCTAAAATGCGCAAAATTCTAAAATATTCTTGTTGAAATTTAGAAAAAAAAAGTCAGAAAGGTTTACAAGGGTTGAATTGAATTATTTACATTACCATTTTCTTAACCAAATTATTATCAATGGTTTGCAACTCATAAAAAAATATACGTAATGACATAAAGGTAACACCCCCTCCCCTCAGAAATCCACTTTGTTATTTTTCGTTCGATTTGAACCAAATATTTCAGAGAATATGAGTCTAGGTTAGGATAGACTATGGATGAAATATCTCCCCCAAACCCCAGTATATTAATGAGTTACAGTTAATTTAGTGGTAAAAAGTACTCTGTACGCGGGCAGGATTTTCGCCGTGAGGACCAGGAACTACTAGGTTGGGATGGTGTCTAGGTTGTACAGTATTCCTAAGGCTAGGTCGTGACAGAATCCGATTTTTGAATTTTCCTTCCTTTGTTTTTTAAAAATCCCATCTATGTTTTCTATTTCAGCAAAAAAGAAATTCAAAAATCCAGCTCTGTCACGACCTAGTCCTCCTTGTCTACTGTAGAATAAAAAAAATTATCACTTCTATATTGAGTCGTTATGAAGAAAAGTCTGCTCGCGTAAACGGTATGCTCGAAAAAATCAATTTTGAGAAAAATGCTAAATAAGTTTTAGAAATCGATTTTTGCGAAATACACGCAAAATATATATCAACGCTTCGGACAGGCTATAAGTATGTGATCTTTATCTTAAATATTAGTAGACTCTTAGTGATTAATATTAAAAAAAGCTTTATTCAACATTGATGCCAATGGAAAGAGAGTCTTTCAAAAGCTGAAAAACTTTTCAAAAAAACCGCGAAAATTTTTCGAAAAAAATGAATCTATTCGTTTTGTAAAAAGCCATATATATTCTGAAAGAAGAGATCATGATGCATCCTTCTATGATAAAAATTTGACTTCGACTTTTCTTAGGAAAATTGGGTTTTCTGAAGGAGTCCCTTAAGGTGATAGATGTGAATTCACACACATCATATTGTTCATTCGTTTTACCGTTACTGAATAAATAAGAAGCGAAAATTGTATGCTGAGAATGAAGAAAGGAAAAGCTAATGTGAAAAGAATTAAAAATGCATTAAAATGATAGTAGTTTAATCTGAGTTTCCAACATTACAGATAGATGTTATTTGATTCGAACGTTGATTGATCTATGTGAATCAGTTATTTATGATTAATTCAACTCTACTAATCAACTAAAAGAGATAGAAAAATATTGATCTCAAATCAAATCGATCTATAAGACAATTTCGTCTCCTTTTCCGATCCAAAATTGTCTGCCTTTTCTTTTTTTCACTTTTTATCTTGGATATGTCGATTTAAATGCTTTCTATCTGAAGCGTATGTTTCAAGAAAGCAAAACGATCTCTTTACATATCAAAAATTTGAAAAAAGAAATCTTAGTTCTATGCTAAAAAAATCAAAAAATAAATCATTCCTTGCATTTTTCTTAAAACCTAATATTCACAGGAACACCTGAAATTTTCTCCCTTTTAGTCTCTTGCGGCGCAATTCATCTGATTCGAAGTTTTTTTTTAAATTAAATACCACGATCGATTCGGAATGTCTGTTTTTTCTTCTTTCTGAATAATATTCTGCCTATGTAATTAGGCATTCTTTCAAAAATTATCACCATTAAAAAAAAACAAGTTTTTTTTGATAGTGTTTACAGTATTTTGCTTCTACTGAGTACTAGGAACGATATCTTTGAAAAAATAAAAAACTGTTGCAAAAACAAAGAAATACAAGTTTTTTGAGGAAAAGAATGCCGGCCATTTTTGATTTTTGCGACCTTCTACTTCCTTGAAGAAAGGAACTGGTGGTTTCGAGTCGATGACAACTTTTATTCTGTTCATTAAGATCTATCTGTTCTAAAAATTTCATCGGTTTTTATCGAACCATTTTGAAGAATCTTTGAAAGGAAGAATAGGAAGACTCGTCTTGCATAAGATAGTGTTGAAACATTTTCAATTTTATTTAATAATGCAGAAATTCCAACCGAAGAATATTCATCCGAACTGCATTTCTTGATCATAATAGATACAAAAAATAAAACATGAATTTATTATTGATATATACTTTAAAGTGATTGTCACCAAGTATTTGAATTGAAAATATAATAAATTTTTGTCATCTATTCTTTTTTAGTTTTACATTCAAGAAGAATAAAAAGATCTAAATATTCTTCCATTTAAAAGAAGTAAATTCTTAGAAAACAAAATATTGAAAAATTTCCT